AAAACCAGCTACAAGTCCATGACCAAGCATCACCCGGGCACAGCCACGGGTTTCAACTGTGGAAGGTACAATGACGAAACGTTTCCTCTGCTCCGTTGCCTCGCGGATACGATGGCAAAAGTCATAGACTGGGGTGAACACATTGTATGTCCAGTACCGTGGTTCACGTTTTTCTATTTGTATGCGATCTTCGTCCTGTAAACTGGGGTTGTCATATGTGCCGTAGTACAGTGCATGATCCCCTTTGTGCTGAAAGAACAGCCTTGTGATCGGATCGGCGGGCAGGTCACGGCGTCGCTCCACACCCGGCAGGTCGACAAGCCGACGCTGCGGCAAAGCCTCGCCTCCATTGGCTTTGTTGTGCTCTAGCCGTGTGCGTGGTGGAAGACGTTCCTCCTCTAGCATGGCATTGAGCTGCTGGCGGAGCCGCTTCTCGTCATATTTCACATCATTGGCGATGGCAAAAAGGCTTCCCTGACGTTCTCGTTTCCCGTGCAGCAATCGATGACGAACCGGCTGCTTCTGGCCAGTGCCATTCGGAGGCGCTGCACCATAAACTTTCGCTAAAGGAACAATCGTCCGACGAAGCATCCGTCCTTAAAAGGGGATTTTTTTCCCCCTTTTTTTTCCTTTTTTTAATGCTGTCGCACCCCTTCAATTCACTTCTTCCTTTCCTTACGCTCTCCCCGACCACCGCCTCGCCCAACTCCACAGGAAACACACGCACAGAAAGAGGAAGGGAGAGAGAGTGTGTACGTGTGTGTAGGGGAGAAAAATAAATTAGAAAAGGGAAGAAGTTGCGAAATACAGCCAATGTATATAGATGCCCGTAATTAAACATTTACCGGCGCGCATCCAAAAAGCTCACAAACAACACGCACCGCTCATGGCTCTTATCATTCTTTTGCGCTCATACCCATTTCCCTCTCATATTGCGTTATCAACAGTTGAAAGCTTTTTCTTTTAATTTCTTTAAAAAAGAAACACACCAAAATTAAGGACAATCGCATTACTCGAAAAAGACTAAATGACCTGTCGATACATCTCATAGGGACCACTTTCTTTTGTGTCGCGATGTATCTTCACAATGCTTCCACGTGCAAGACCCAAGTATGCCACCATAGGGTCTTCTTTTAGGATGCGAGGTAACTGGGAGAGAGAAATCTGACGCTGCTGAAGAAACAACCGCGCCTCTTCAGGGGAAAGCACCTCATGCTGGGGCACTGTGTCGTGACGTGCAATGTTGTAAGCGAGTTCATCCTCCTCTAATAGTTGAATCGACATAATTTCCTCGCCTGTGCCAGCGCGGAGAAATCCACCCAGTTCGCGTGCACCACGACGAACCATCGGAGGTATTTTTCCGGCGGATACAACCACCATGCAACGGGCCTCTTTCAGCAGAGCCTTCTCGCGAAACTCCTGCAGCTCACTCATGCTAAGTGACGGCGACGCCGAGAAAAAAACAAGCATTAAACTCCCTTTTTTTTCTCCTCGTTTACTCAATGAAACCTCCTCATCATCCGTCGCACCGTCTAACTCAGCACTGCAAACAAGCCGCATGGCACCACGCATCAGGATACGTTTTTTATTTTCCTCCAACAGTTTGTTTTGATTTGTCGGCACACTCACCTTGTCGTCCTCATCCTCCTCTGCCCTCTCAGCCCCGGAGGCCGCGGCCCGCTGAGTCACAAAACGTTGAAGGAACCAATCATAGTCCAGTCCGTGTTCGTAGCTGTACACACAAGGGTCGCGAACAGCCTGCGCGACGGCAGAGGGATGACGCACTGTGTAGCCACGATCCATGCACATCTGAATTGCAGTGTTGTAGGCACGATAGAGCCGCACGATTTTTAGCTCCTCAATCGAACCCATTTTTCCGACTATGTGTGTGACAGGAGTGAGTGGCTGGCCTTTCCTCTTCCTGCTCTGCTCAGAATTCCGCCACGCACCCGAGACGGCAATGCATCACAATGAGGTCCAACAAAAATATTTTAAAAAAGCAAAAGAACAGAGAATTAATAACAAATGGAGACACATAAATAAAATTACAAAAGTAACCAAAGATAAAAAGAAAGAGACGGAGAGTCCAGCCACACAAAAATAGTCAATAGCATATCAATAGTGAGAAAAGAAAGAAGAAGAAGTGACGTGTCTACACCACCTGTCGGTAGGTCACGTAAAATCCCGCCGACATACTCTTTCGCTCAATCCGCACAACACGCCCTCGCTCCAACCCCAAATACGCCGCAACGGGATCGGTCGAGAGAATGCGCGGGAGTGCACTTAACTCCAGCGCATGAGCCTGCAGCATCTCCTTTACCTCTTCATCCTCAAGTTGTGTGTGTTTTGGCACCAGCTCATGGTGTGTGATATTCACCACAAGGTCATCTTCATCAAAGAGCTGAATTTTCAAACCGAGGCTGCTTCGATTGATATCCTCAACATGCCGTTTAACAATTGCATTTATCCTTCCTTGCACCACAATAATAACGCGATCGCAGTTTGCCTCCGACGCCTGTGTGTGATACCGCTTCATCGTTTCCATGGAAAGTCCCTCTGAAAAAAACACCATGGCACGGCTACGTTGCGAAACACCGATGCGTTCGCACGGGACCGTCATGCGGTCGCGGTAAATTACCCCTTCTCGTGGGTCCGTGTACCAATCCTTAAACTCCTCCACAGAACTCGGAATTATCTTATCGGCCACCTGGTATTTTCTGTCACACATCATCTCCCCCACGGTCCGCATGACACGGAACATCTTGTCGTACAACAGGGCCTCTTGCCCAATCGCGTTACTCTCATCGCCCATAACGGCTGCAAATTAATTCCAAAGCTGACGATTTCCGCCGCCCCTCAGTTTCTTCTCTTGCTTTCCTGCAGCTCTCTCTATATATATAAGAAAAAAATAGGGGTTTCGGCAGCAAAGAGCCATTAACGCCGGCCACATCAAAATCCAGGAAAATAAAGGAAAATCACACGCAGAGAGACAAAGAAAGTAAATAAATAAATAAATATGTAGATATATAAAGCATTCCAAGCTTGGATTTGACGTCTTTACCTCATTATGTTTCATTACACATCAAATGCTGCACGGCAGTATCGATACAATTTGGCCCATTCACCACTACCATACAGGGGGAAAGTGGTGCTTTCCAATAGGAACTGTAAGTTTATAGAAACAACCACTATTTCCAATTCCCTCCCGTCAAAAGCCTTCGACACATTATCCCGTTCATTATTTTTTTTTTCTTTTCTTTTTTTTCTTTTTTTTTTGGGGGGGGGGGGTTCTCTTTCATTTGGGTCTTTCAATCGTCATCCCCACCGGCAGACAGAATCAAAAGTACCCACATTCATTCCAAATGGATCAGGCAATGAGATATCTAAATCCAACTCCTTCGGTACCGCAATCACAGCAGATCACAGAGACCGGAAAAATGAGGGTAAATAGTCAAAGAAATATACAAATAAGAAGCAATCCTGAAAATTACAAAAAAACTCTACTTCCACCGTGTGTGATTGTGTGTGTTGCCACATTTTATTTTTTTTTCTAATGGTCACTCCCTTATCCACAGATTCCACTCTTCTATGCCTGAATTAGGAACCGTGTTCAGTGTTATTCAAGGGCAAATACGACTGTTGCACGCTCTTCGGTACAAACGCACTGTGTGCGCGGTTCATAGCAGAAGCCAAAAAGGCGCTCCCCGCTTTGCCAAGCATGGAAATAATCCTGGGCTCCAAAGGTGATGAGTTCGTTGACGGACTTCCTTCACTCTCAAGTGGGCCCCTCCAACCTCGACGAAGACGGATCCTTGTAAGTGCACCACTGCTTTTCTTCCGTATTCCCACACAAATATGTGTTCCGTCTGTAGATGCTAAGATTTTTCGAAAATCTTTCAACGTTCGCACCCTATGGCGTCCTACTTCCCATATTTGATCACCTCGCTGGATCCCAGCTGCCTCTGCCTCTCCATGCACTTCAGTGACAGTCAATAAAGAGGAAACACAAAGCCCTAAGGGAGGTCGCTCAGATATACCTAAATCAGGCACAACATTTGGCCTATGAACAAAAGCGGAGGCAGAATAACCAGAGTGGTCGCTGCTCATACCACTAAAAGCAAGATGCGGGGAACTGCTGCAACTACTGGGTGAACGAGAAGACTCTCGAGAACCAGTGTGAGCGAATTCGTAACCTGACTGTGAACTGTGATCACCTCCAAATGTTCTCATGGGTGCAGACACGGAAATGGCATGAGTGCCGGAACTTACTACTTGCATATTTTGCTGTGCGGGAAAAAAAGACTTTTTTTGAACTGGTATATTTTGGTGGGCGTTTCGCGATGAAACACTCTTTTCTCAGTCCGTGCAATGGCCTCTATCGTTTTCGCGATGAGCTCTGCATTTTGACCACGCAGTGACCTTGTTTTTGATGGCACCACATGTTGTGGTGTCAACGTCCCGCCTAAAGTTTTTTCCCGAAACCGAGAATTCAAAGACTCTGTCTCCTGAATCGGACTCTTCGTTGGGCTTCCCTCCAACGGCACTCTCTGCAACGCCAGGTACTCACAATGGCCTTTACGTATTCGTGCAACGTATTGCCACCTGGCAAAAAATCGAAGAAGAATAAACTGCTCGGTTGAACGCAACATCAGTAATACCGCCTGATCACGTCTAACAGCGGCATCCCTTATTGTGGAAAAAGAAGGCTTCACGCGGAGGTCTGAAACATGACGCATAAAAGGCCTGGAGCGTTGGGGTGGTGCAAGTAAATGCTGTTTGACAACCTGATGTAATGAAGCAAAATCGTGCCATTTTTTATGAACCCCCTTTGGCTCTGATCCCGTGGCTAGCGCGTGTCCGTTCCCATCCGCGCTTTCCTGAGTGAGCTGCTTAAATGGGGTACTTTCTAAACCAAACCCAACGGTCCTCTTTTCTCCATCACTTCCTGAAACGACAACCGCCGTAGGACTCTCCTCGCGCATGCCAATAAGCGTACCCGAGCTCTGATAACTAGCACAGGCAGCGGGCAAAAATACAGGTGAATCCGAGGCTTCTAATGACCCGACAGAGACGTTGACGGGGCAATTCCTTGAAATTGGATCCAAATTTCCGTCCGAATGAAAATGCGTGCTTCGTTGCCGCAACGCCTGGCCATTCGAAACCATCTCCCTTGCGGCATCATTGAGGTTCATGGACGATTTTGAGCAACTTTTTTCATCAGCATTTGCAGTGCCCAAACCTGGTGTTGTTTGGTTTACCAAAATTGGTGTTGTGCCATTCGAATTGTGTTCCTCGTAACCTTCTTTAAAGCCACAAGCATCATCATCCAGTGTAAGGCGCGGAATTACAATATGTGCCGAGGAAGGAAGTGGATCGTTGACACCAAACGCTTCAAGGTGTGGGTTCGCCCTCACAAGTGCATCTGTTGATATATCATGTAGAAGTGCCAAATGAGCAAATGTAATAGGCTCATTGTCGGGGGTGGCTGCGTTCTCCTGCAAAGAATTCATAGACAAACGCACAGGAAACAACTGTCGTCCACAAAAAAACAAACTTTCCTCACTTGCTAGTCGAACTAATTTCTCGTCCGC